ATCACTCGCTGGTCTCCTCTGGAAGGTCAAGGATCTTCCCCACTGTGTCGCCAGCCGCTATGATTGGTGGCATATGAGGGCATTGTACTGCAGAGTTGGCATGGGTGTGCTCTCTCCCATTAGTCCAGGAGTGCCAAGGAGCTCTGTGGAGATGTGGAATGTAGAGAATAAGCAATGTCTCTCTCTCTTAGGTGACTTTCAGTACTGGCATCTGTCTTTGGGAAAACTACCTTCTAGGAAGATGTCCCCACAAAGCACACTGCTCTCATGGGCAGCAACTCAAGGCCGGATGCGCCTTCCAAACAGACCTTTCAGAGGCACTTGCAAAGCACACAGGACAGGTAGCCGTACAGCCCGCCTTTTCGCACTTCCTGTACTTCTTCTCTGACACGCCATCCTCGTCCTCATCTGCTGTCTCTGTTGCCTTCTTCTTTGCCTGTGGGAGAGTCAGCTGAGGTGAGGATCACTGGGCTGACCAGGGTGATGGGGTGGAAGGTGTGTTACTACCGAAACCACATGCGTTACAAGTTCCAAGTGTGAAGGTCAACAACATCCTGGCAGTGGCCCAGAGGCTGACCCACAGGAACCACTGCCTCATGACTCACTGCACACACAGTTCACTGGCTGGCTAGAGATACAGAACCAGCACTTTAATAGCAGGCACCTAGGAACTCAAATTCACCTGAGCCTTTCTCAGGAAAAAGTGACACCGCTCAGAATAAACACACGTCATTCTCAAAATTAAGACTTTTTTTTCTTAGAAGACTTAAACCCTTACAGTATTACAGACTTTTATTTTTTTAAAAAAGTCAGGAAAATTCTAGAGAGATAATTCTATCATTTTTTTCATGAAAAAGAAAAACACTACCAAAAAAAGCAATACCTAACTGACTATAAGCAGAAGTCCAAATTCCTCTGAATGATATCCAAGCCGTGCATAATGGGGCCAGAGCCCCATCACCTAGTGCAATTCTCTGATGCCCATCTGCACGCCATGCCTTTATCCTTGCAGTTCCCCCAACCAGAGATGCAGCATTTCTACGTCCTCTCCCTTTATCATGCTATACCACGACTACTGTGATTTTCTCCACAGTAGGACTAGAGGACTAGAGGTGTCTTCCCACCTCTAATTTTCCAGTCCCAACCATAATATTCCTGTATGCTCAAAAGAGGTTCATTGAGTGAACAAATGAACATACCTGCCTGCCGGAGCTCCTCAAAGGAAGGCTATCTGAACCATCATAAGCTGTTCTTTTCTTTGACCTTCCCCGAGGGGTTGCCATTATATTAAAAAAATCTGCCAAAAAAGAAATTAAGCCACTCAATATTAGCATCTGCTATTATTTTCAACTGTGTGGAGCAAAGTATGTAGTTTAGTAGGTATGAAGGCATACTAGACTGCTTGGGTGTAAAGCCATCACTTCGGAATTACTTAATCTCCCCAAGTGTCCTCAGGTAAAATGGGCATGGTAAAGGTGTACCACATCAGTGGCATGAAAATTAAACAAGATAATTTAGAGCACCAGTACTGGCAGAAGTACTCAATAAATACTACCCATTAGTACTATGTACACTTTTAAAATGAGAAACATGTCACATGAATGATCAATATTCAAATTACACAACTGTTTGTAACATTCAGTAGGGAAATATACCTAGTTTTTGTTGTTCCCCTTTTTCCATCTCACTCTGTCTTCTTAGCAGTTCCTGAATTCTGATGCCTTAGTATACTTTAAAAACTTACTCATTCCTTCTTAGTAAACTCAATAGATGAGTATCAGGCACAATGTGTGGTCACTACTGACCACAGGAATCTGGATTAGATAGAAGCACTGGTATCTTCTACTAGATCAATTTTAAGCATTCTCAAACTATTATAACAACAACATGATTAAACAAACAATAAGAACTAAAGACTACAAGATAAATAATGAATAGTAACATGAAAAACTGAAAGCTATTCGAATTTTTTCAATTAAGGATAGAAAAATACTTACCATAATTAATAATATATGGATTCTGTAATTATCATTCATTCCCTTCCCTGATCCATTTTTTTTACTATGTGTGCACACATATATGAAATAATAAAATGAAAAATAAATAGGACATACCTGTGGATAGGAATTTCAAAGTAGAAAAGTATTACCATAAAATACAAATCCCATATACACAAACTTAATCTTGGAGAAAAGCTTTGAAGATTTTGTAATCCTACTGTTTCATATTTATGCATTATAATAACATCTTTAAGAGTACTTTTCATGGATTATTAACATCATGTGGAAAAACTTTGCCATCTACCCTTATTCTGAGAAGCCTTCCTATCAACAATTTTCCTTTGACTTAGTCTTCATTTTCTTAGAAACAATATAATTTTACCTATGAACCATACATATTCTGAAGTGCACTATACTTCTTTAAGCATTAAATAATCGCTTAGGGGCCTGAGGGTGTAGCTCAGTGGTAAAACGAATGTTTTTCATGATATGAGAAGCTGGGTTCAATCCCCAGCACCAAAATAAATAAGTTGACATTTAGTTCTATAACATCCTTGTACTGCTAGAGAAGGTGCTGGTAATTTAATAATAGTACCTACCTAATCGTTGTTATACTCTAAGGCTTTCTGGGTCTCATTTGTGTTTTCAAAAAGTCTGACAAAACTCTCTATACATAAAAATATGAATATATAAATATGAATTCTTACACATAAATCTTCACATATTTATTTTTAAAATCTATACATTATTCATAAAAAACAAAAAAAGAATGTGAAAATATATAGTATTATGCACAATACAATTTTTTTTGTACAGGGACTGAACTTAGAGCCTCCTGAATCCTACCACTGAGCTACATCTCCAGCAGTACATATGGTATTGTAGCAAAATATCTGAAGGGGGGGTTCAGGAACAAAAATGAAATCAGCCAAGGTTCGTGCAACATTTGACTCTGTCACCTAGGAATGTTTCCTAAAAGCATAGTTTCCAGAAATTTCAAACATTTTAATCAAATTGTACACTGAAAATGTTCTTAATGCAATAAAAAAATAATATAATTCAAGAAGTAGTTAAATACGAAATGGAAACACTATAAAGGCCATTATTAAATTTGATCAAAGGTTTTTAAAATAGTACATTTCACCTTTAATTACACAATTATGTACCTCCATTCTTTTTTTAGCACTTGACATAATCCCTATTTTCACTGTTGCTGGGTCTTAAAAGAGAAAAAATAAGCGAAGTTTTTAAACACCGTCTTAGAAATACTAACCAAAGTGTCATTAAAATAAACTGGGATACTCAAAGTTTTCACATCTGATTCTTTAAAGACACCTAAGTAAATATAATGTTTCATGTTCAATACTTTAGGAGCACATTTCTTCCTAATTTGAAATGCACAGCTTTGGTTTGCTTTTAATGTGATAAAAGAAAAAAAGCAGGTGTTTTCTATAAACATACAAGTGGCTATATCAATACCCAGACTTCTACTTAAATAATTCCCAGGTGTTTCTGAACCACCTTATTCAGGAACTGTTTCTTAAAACATACTCACAGAATTCACAAAAATGTGAATCAAGAGGATTCCAAATCTACAGTAGAGTCAGCATAATTTCTAAAATTAGAACAAACTAATACTAGAAACTTCTTCATAGACCAAAGAAAGAATAATTTCCCTTTGGGCCACTTAAAATAAGGCAAGACCTTACTACTCCTACACTAATCAAATTCTCAGGAATACGGACCCAGAACTATATTCAACATTGAACGACTCAGTAATGCAACACGGAATCCCCACCCGCCTGGACGTCTTTTGTTGACCACTTTCTCCGCCGGGGAGACAATTAATTATTGATGGTCATTTTCTCCTGTGCGCGCCTCCTGAAGAAACCTCCCTCCCACTCGCCTTTCTTCCACTGAAATATTTTTAAAAACAAAAATAAAACTGGCCGACCCGTGCGCCGCGAGCGTAGCGGGGAGCCGGTGGAGTCATGCCAGCCGCGCCGAGCCCCGGGCTCTCCGCGGCGGGGCCCCGGGCGCGAGCGCAGCCGCCGCGGCTCCTCGGGGCTCCGCCGGCGCCGCGCCGCGGCCCCGCTACACCTGCGCGGCCCTGGGCGAGCGAGGGCGCTCCCACCACACCGGGTCCCGCGGCCGCCCCGGAGGGGAGCCCCGTCCCCTCCCTCGTCAGAGAAGCCGCCCCGGGCTCACCTCTGCGCACGGAGGCGCGGCGAGGCGGGGAGGGGCACCGCCGGGGAATGGAGACGCGGTCAGGCCCGGAGGCTCGCCGCCCCGCGCCCCGCCGCGAACCCCGTGGTCCCGACACCGCGGCCCGGAAATGCCCCCGCTCTGAGGAGACCCCCGCCCCACAAACCTTGCCCTCGGCGGCGGCGCATTCAGCTCCCGGGACGCCCCCTCGCCTCGCTCCCGGGCGGCAGGCGCCGCGCCGCGGAGGGGAGGGGAAGGGAGGGCTCGCGACCCGCCCGGCCGCCGACCCGAGCTGTCATCCCGCCGCCCCCGCGCCCGCCCCCTACCGCGAGCCCCACCTCGCAGCGGCAGCCGCCGTGCGCGCTGCCCGGCTGCCGGCACCCCTCTGAGCCGCGCGCAGGACCCAGCACCCGCGCGGCCGCGCCGCTTCCGCCCCTACCGCGGCGTGACCCGGGGTGGGAGGAGCCGGAGAAACAACGCACGAGGCCCCGCCCCCGCCGCCGCAGCCGCGCGCCCCGCCCCCGCCATTTCCGCGGCTGCGCAGGCCCGGGCTCAGGGACAGGCGGGGCGAGGTTCGGGGGAAGGAGGAGCGCCCCTGAGGGGCGAGGAGTGGGCGGAGCGCCGGCAGGAGAGGTGCTCGGGGGCGGGGCGAGGGAGGACAGGGGCCCTCCGGGGGCGTGGCCTCTAGGGTGGGGCACTCCGGGGAGGGGCGGGGCAGGAGGCGCGGAAGGAGGAGGGGCTATCCGGCGGGGCGGGGCCTCGGGGGAGTAGGAGGGGCCCTTTGGCGGGAGCTCCGCGGGAGGAGGGACGCGGGCGAAGACAGGCAGCCGGGGACCCGAGAGGTGAGTCCTGTGGCGCCCTGAGTGAGCCGGGAGGAGAGTGTTGCCTGGAGTGCCTGCGCCCCTGGAAGCCTTCCCGAATTCGCGAACCGGGAGCGCGGATGCCATCCGCGCCCTGAAATGGGGTCAAGGAACCTAAGCGAGAAGTAGTACTAAAGAGGTCAGGTAGCGCACGGTCCTTGAATCCAAGATTTCAAGAGAACGCACGAAGCACTGTTTATATTGGTGAGTTTTAAGAAAAGAGAAAACTGCCAAAATAGTGACTTGTGCCCTTGGGGCAGGGAAAGCTGGGAGTCGTGAATATTCTAAGGCCTGCTCAGTGGTGTGTTAACTAGCGTGTGCATTTGTAAAAAGCTTCACCAAGCCCTTACTCAAAATTTGTGTGACTTAGGGAAGTCACTCAATCCAACAAAATATTAAAATGTAACTAAAGTAGAAATAGGGTTTATTTTTTTAAGGTGAAGGAGGACCTGGGCGACCGATGAGCACATTTGAAATTAACTTTTATGAGAAGGGATCATTGTGAAATTTGCCTTTTCTGATTCTGGTACTTTGCGTTTATATCGTGTTGAGAAACATTATTTCTTAAGAAATGACCTAGACAAGTGGAGTACACGTTAAGAAGCTGTTAGAATTAAGAAGTGATGATATTTATGATATTAATATAGATCAAGTCTGTGAAAAAGGAATGGAGTCTTGTAATTCCGGATTGCTCTAGTGAATGATATAGACTGTGCTTCCCATTTAGTTTCAGTAAAGAACTTCTGTAGGAGGGATCTCTGGACTCAGGGGTCCAGTTCCTGCAACTCTCTTGCTTTTGTGTACCCAATATAATCAAACACTTCCCAGGGCCTCTCAGAAAACTGTCCCCTTCTGATATCTTCAAGGCCTTGCAAAAGCCACTTGTTAACAAGTATTTGTTGAAAAGTGAATCCTGAAATATGCCTTTTCCTTTAATCCTAAGCACACTGATGCCAAATTGTGCAACAAAAGGGGAACTTTTTCCTGAAATTCTTGCTTTTATGCAAATTTGCTATTCATGAATAAATCATTAAGTTTGAGCTGCCAATAATAACATGCTAGTTCAATCCAAACCAAATTAGCTTCGCTAGTGATTTAAAGGGAATTTTGGAATTGTGGTGTTTGTCCTTAATATTGCAAAATTGAAAGGACATTTTCCTCTACATTCTGATAGACCTACAGGTATGTTTATATGTTCTTTTTCTCAGTTCCCTTTGTGTGCATTTTCCCATGCAAAAAATAAGCTAGGAGAAAATTATTTTAAAATACAGATTATGATGAACAAATGAGATACTGAACTCCTGCATGTATTTTGCCTCCTTCTTGAAACCCCACCAATAACAGAATTTAATCCTCATATCTGATGATTAAGAGTTGAGAGTATATTGATGGGAAACCAGGACAATTGGCAGAGCTTGGAGTTGAATTAGTGAGTTCATGAAAATTTTATAAATGAGAGAAACCGGTACAGAATCAAAAGTTGTGAAGAAAAGGAAAAGTAATCATAGAATACTATATTGTTAAACTTTGAACCTACCTAGTTATAATGTACACACCAAATATTTCAACAAAAGTATGTTGCGAGTATATTTGAAAGATAGGAAAGATGAGAAGGATGGTGTGTGTTTGTGTGTGTGTGAATGAATGAATGTGTGCCTGGAATTTGTAAGAGAGGTAAATGCTCATCTTCTCTAGATGCTACCTAGAAATGAACAAATTAAGAAGATACAAAATAAACATGCAAATTTAAGATAGCATGACCCAGCTAAAAGAGTTAAAGATGGTTGCCTCTCATGGGGAAAAAGGACTGCTTATTTCATAGCAAATCTGTTAAACTCTTCAAATTGTGTATACTATAATATTGATGAAAACTAAAACATAAATATGAAAATTTTTAAAATTAAGATGCTAGAAAAAATTCTAAGTTTATGAATGTTACTGTGTGATGTCTGATTTTTTTTTCTACCTTTTTGAAGCTTAAATCCTTCTCTTTTACTGTAGTGTTAAGGTATAATTCAATTTATTTAAAGATCTTTCCTAATGTGTAACATGAGTTATGCCTCTACCATCAGACTCACTGAAAAGTAATTTTTTGCATGACTTTCTGTTGAATTGTGAAATATTTGTTAGAAGCCATACTCCCAAGGATACTAGGTTTTCATTGAGTTTAGTAGTAGAATTGCAGGGTCCTTAAATAACAACATTGCACATATTTTCCATTTAGGAATTGGAGATATCTGCCTGTAGACAAAGGTGTCTATTATACACAATGAGTGATACAAGAACTTCACTTGATATTGAAGAGTACCCCGATTGGGAGGTACAGAAAAACCGAATACTAACCCTGGAAGAATGGCAGGACAAGTGGGTGACCCACAAAATTGGATTTCATCAAGAACAAGGACATCAGTAAGATATGTTTGTTCTATGAAAAAGAAATTCTGTATCACACACTGATTTTGAAACAGAAATAATAATATCAGTTGTTAGACTGATTTTTAAGAGGCACATTTTTAGTTTGTCATACGTATCAATTCTGAAATCAGAATGCATCTGTGGCATGTCATAATTGAATTGGCAATCTGTTTTCTTCCAATAGAGTACAAACAATGATGCGACTTACAACTGAAGGCATCTTAGAATTATGATATGTCTTTCTTTATAAAATTGCTGGTAGCAAGGCTGGGGGGCTGTGGCTCAGTGGTAGAGCACTCACCTGGCCCGTGTGAGGCACTGGGTTTGATCCTCAGCATCACATAAAAGTAAAATTAAGGTATTGTATCCACCTACAATTAAAAACTACATATAAAACCAAATTGCTGGTAGCCTCTATCTATGGTCATGCAGGCCTATACAAAGCAGATGCTGAAGTACCATCTCTCTATACTCCAAAGTGGGGGTGTTTTGACAGATTTCCAGTCACATGTATTCTATTGTTCTTCTGTATGGTGAAGAAGAGAGAGGAAGAGAAAATATGGGAGCTAGAATATCAAGCAACTTCTTAGCAGCAGTATTTGTCTTTGTAGAAGCAATGACAAATTATGGAACCCATTTGAGTTAAGTGATCATTATAGACAATCTTTGTTCTAGGCCAACACCCCACTATCCAAAAGATGTTGTTTTCATTATCATTATTATTATCACTTTTTCAGTGAATAGAAATTGAGGCATCATCCCAGAACATTGTTATAGATCACCTCTGCCTTAGGGGTGGCCTTAGAAGAGCCACGTGTCTGTAGAGGAAATTAAACTGTAAGAGTTAAAGTTATTTAGAGAAATTTCCATAAAACAGTTGTTGAAAACTCCACAGGTTCAGAGGCTCCCTCTCCACAACACTTTCTTTGTTAAGTATACATGTGAAAATTAATACAGAATTTTCAAAACACATTGACCAAGAAAAATAAAATTTTTTTAATTTTAATTACGGATCAGGAAAACCCAGTGTGTAAGTCATTTATTACTAGAAGGATGACTAAACCAGTTACTTAACTGTCCTGTTCATTCATATGTAAAGTGAATGTTATAATAACATTACCTACTCATTAAGATTTCAGAGAATTTTAAATGAGGTGATGCATAAAAAGTCATCTGTGTGTACATCACATTTTTTTCTCTCTCCGCAGGCTGTTAAAGAAACATTTGGATACTTTTCTTAAAAGGGAGAGTGGACTAAGAGTATTTTTCCCTCTTTGTGGAAAAGCTGTTGAGATGAAATGGTAGGAAGAGATTTCCATCAACATACTGGTCTTTCACGATAAATTCTTTGAGTGAATATTTAACAGGATATAGGTTGAAAAGTGGCACATGTCTGTAATCCCAGCTACTTGGGAGACTGAGGCAGGAGGATGGTCAAGGCCAGCCTGGGCAATTTAGTGAAACCCTGTCAGAAAAAATAAAAGGGCTGGAGATGTAGCTCAGTGGGAGAGCACCCATGGGTTCAATCCCCAGTACCAAAAAAAAAAAAAAATCATCCTCAGGAAATGCAGAGGAATTCTTTATTTTTAGTAGACTCTTATTGATAGTTATGTAATTAGAGGCAATATTTTCAAACAGTAATAAAGGAAGCAGACACAGGTTTTTTGCATTACATTTCAAAGGAAAAAAATTAGTTTGGAACCAGCAGGGGAGAAAACCCAGTATCTTTGAGCATGGTTTCATTATTGTAGGTAGTTGAGGAATTAACCTAAATTAACTTTAGGTATTTGAAATAGAGATAAACAGAAAAATTTAAAATGTCTTATAAGTTTTTGGCAGGACAGTGTTTATGGTCCACTGTGCAGCTCAGCTCACTCTCTCACTATGAGCAAATAAAAATTTTTGTAATGACAAGGCGTGGTGGCATACACCTACAATCCAGCTACTCAGAAGGGTGAGGCAAGAAGATTGAAAGTTCAAGGCTACCCAGGGTAACTGCTTAATGAGACCCTGTCTTTAAGGAATAAAAAGGGAGAGGGGCTGAGTGTCTGATTACATGCCTGTAATCTCAGTGGCTCCAGAGGCTGAGACAGGAGGATCGCAAGTTCAAAGCCAGCCTCAGCAATAGTGAGGCGCTAAGCAACTCAGTGAGACACTGTCTCTAAATAAAACACAAAATAGGGCTGGGGATGTGCCTTAGTGGCCGAGTGCCCCTGAGTTCAATCCCTGGCACCACCCCACCACCAAGAAAAAAAAAAAAAAAAGGAAAAGATACTGGGGATGTAGCTTAAGGGTAGAGCACTTGCTTAGCCATGTAGGAAGTCCTGGGGTCCAATCCTCACACTGTCCAAAAACAAGAGAGTTTTTTTAATCATGAATCATTGTTATAAAATCAGTGATGCATAAAATATTCCTTGCAAGTAATTCCTACAAAAATAATTCACATTAATTAATAAGCCACTGTTACTGTGGGTTACCCTAAAGTCAGGAACCTGGAATTTGTTTTCTATACAGAACTCTGTTTTAATAATACACACACACACACACACACACACACACACACACAACACAAGCTTACCTGCCAAGACATCTTCATTTTTAAGCTTAAATGTTGAGAAATTTGATCATTAAGTAGGAAAGAAAAAAGACTACTAAATGCAAAATATAGTAAAGGCAAAATAGAGTAAAAATGTTCTGTTCCCTCTATCATCAGTGACTATCCATGGAGGAAAGGTGTATTTATAGTTGGTTTTTCAATAAAGATGGCAAAATTTTGACAGCTCTCGCTCTTTCAACTTATAGATAAGAGTGTATGTTAAGGGCTGAGGATATACCTCAGTTGGTAGAGTGCTTGCCTCACATGCACAAGGCCCTGGGTTCAATTCCCAGCACCACAAAGGGAAGGGGAGAGAGAGAGAGAGAATATGTTAAATGGGTGCTGTGGCTTAAGATCCAATGTGGCCATGAACTTGAGAACATTTCTCTCTATCGTTAGACATAGGGGTTGACCACCTCACTGAACCAGAAGACAGAGTTACTTTGGAAACTATTTGCAAATAGTTTATATTAACTCTATTAACAATATGAGGAATAAACCAGTTAAGTGTGGTTGTTGAATATTTTTTGGTCTAAAGCCATTTGGAGCTGGGACTGTAGCTCAGTGGTAGAGCACTTGCTAGCATGCACAGAACCCTGGGTCCAATCCCCAGCACTGCAAAATATAATAACGATGACATATCAGAACTGAGCTACTGTGGTGGCATGTAAGTTATTATATTAGAGAAATTTTCATTTATTTAACTAGGTCCATGTTCGAAATCTATATAGACATCAGAGTGAATAGATCAACTTGACCATAAGCATCAAAATGAAATGTTTAAGCTATTTAGGCTTTTGTTTTTATTTTGTTTTGTTTTAATGCCACTCTGTTGTAGAACATGCTTCATTTTTCCACGTGTTGAATGAGGGGAAAAATGTAGTCAATTTGGATACTTTCTTTGTTTATATTGTATAATTTCAAAAAATGCATTTTTTGAAAATGAAAATTAAAAAATATTCCCTGTGTATTAGTTCACAAATTTCCTAGGAAATATAAGAGAAGCAGTTAGTATGTTTCATTTTGGAACTGCAAACAGTTCATGCTCTGCCCTGGTTGAAAGGATGTACTCTTGTGTAGATAATAGGTAACAGTCAGTCTTGTTCTTGTTTTGAAAATGTGAATTTTGTTCTAACTCAACTGATATTCTGGGGAACAATTAGAGGACTGTATGATTTTTCCATTTGCTTTCTGGTGATTTCGTCTGCAAGAAACGTTAGGCAAAAGCAGAAGAGTGCTCCAATGTGTGCTGAGCAGACAGCACGTGCCTGCGCACACACCCCAGCACCACCTGCAGCCTCAGTTTACCCCAGGTGCTATGAGCCTATGTTGTGCTCGCCAGGTACTGCAACTTTCCATTTGGTTTCCAGTAACACTCCTCCATCACTTCACAATAATTCACCAATCGCAGCCCTGCCAGTGCCCACCTCTACAAGAAAACTTTAGGTCTTTTTCAAGGGGAAGTGCCATGTGGCAGTATTTATCTATTCTTAACCATTTCACATGTGTGAACCCATTATTGTCAGGTTCCTGCCTTGTTTCTGTTTACTGTGGCACTATACAGTTTTTAAATGTCGTTCCCTAACCCCCACATTTCCATCAGCCATGTGACTACATGGCCTGCACAATTTTGCATACTGTAGCAGTTTTTAGGAAAGCATGTGTCACACTGCAGCAGAACTGACTATTCTTATGTAATTGGACCTAACCTTATTACTGTGCCAAGGTATTTATGCTGTTGATTGTGGGAAACCAACCTCACCCATGACTGAGTCACACTCCCTGGCTGGGTGCTGAGGCGCTCAGTCACATAAATGTGGCAGAGCTTTCCCACCCTTCTTAGGTCCGAGGGTCGGTGTCTCGTGCATGGGTGTATCTTGCTACAGCCCCATGGGTGAAGCTATGCTCACCTGTTCCTTTGTAATATAATCCCTTGCCCTGTTTAGGATAGAATCTTCCATGGAAGTGCCTTGTGTGTGTCCCCTTCTCTTACTGTACCCTTGGGTGCGGCCTACCCAGGTGTCAATCAACCTGCTGACAGTGGACACCATGAAGATATAGACTCAGCCCCCTGAAACCTGACTCCTTGCCTCATTTGAATACTTTGCCTCAATAAAAGGGGTCAGCGCATGCTCTCGCCCTCTCTCTTCCTGAGGACCCTTAAGGTCAGAGGAGCCGTCACAGTATTTGTGTCTCTCGTGTGGTTATTTTGCGCAGCCCAGTCAGCCCAGTTTACCTGGAGTGACCCTCGAGCCTTTAAGTTGCGAGATCAGAAACCCAGCAGTTGATACTATTTTCTCCAGTGTCCAAGATCCCAAAACTGTGATTTCTATAATTAGCTTGCCAGGAAAATGTTAGTTGCATATGCTGATAAAAAAATTTAGGATATTTGTTATAAATAAATGGAAATGAGATAATTATAGAAATGGAAGCTAATGTTCTAGAGCTGTGTGCTCCAATATAGTAGCTACTCATCACAGTGGCTTTATATGTTTAAACTAAATAAAATTTAAAAATCAGTTCCCCCCCAAAAAAAATTTCAGTTCCTCTGTCAGACCGCTATTTGGTAGCCAACGAGTTAATGGCCACTGCACTGAGCCGCACAGATATAGACCTGTCCTCCACACGCATTGGTTTAATGGAAAGCATGGATTTAGGGACATTGAAAGCATTTCCTCAAGTCAGATACATAGGTTTAAATCAATACTCAACATTCCAAATTTTATTTTTTACTAAAGTCATATAAATCAACTTTGCAGAAATCTACTTAACAGGAGGTTTGAAAGTACATAGATCCCCCTGTCTTTCAAGTCTTGTGGAACCTCATGAACCTAAATATATATGAATCCCTTAAAAGTAAAGAAAACATGTTTATTGAGGTATATGCCTTTATTTAGTATTTTATTTGGATTGTAAGTATAAATATGTTGTTTTTTGTAGGTTTGCTGACCGGGGACACAGTGTAGTTGGTGTGGAAATCAGTGAACTTGGGATACGGGAATTTTTTATGGAGCAAAACCTCTCTTACTCAGAAGAACCAATTGCTGAAATTCCTGGCACCAAAGTATTTAAGGTTTGTTTTGATCTTGGTAAGTAATTATATACAGTAAGGAGCTAGGGCCTCAAAATATAGATGGTAGCTAGCAAAATAAATAAAAAAATAAATATATATATGTATTATAAATCTATATAAATAAATATAAATA